ATCTTTTTTTTTTTTGCTGACTGTACACTATAGTTCAAGTAGTGAAGATGAATATGAAGAGACATCGATACTCTTGTATCTAAACAAATCTAACTGCATAAAAATAACAAGCTATTTTCATAGTTCACAACAAACCAAGCAATGTCTTCATGTCAAGCAGAAGCTTCTTTAAAAATTTCTCATATGCTCGCAAAGAAAAAGCCCTTACAGGATGGTGAGTTGTTAAAAGAAACATTTCTTACTGGTGCTGATTGCTTATTTGAGGGATTTTCCAACAAACGTGAGATCATGTCAGCAATACAACACAGTTATCAGATAATACTCTTACAAGAATAATAGGTGCCATTTCGAAAGATATGAAAAATCAGTTAAAGACTGATTTGGAAATATGTGAGTGGAGAAGGATTCTCACTACAGTTTGACGAGTCTACAGACAAATATAAGATAAAGTTGAATGACAAGGAATTTAACTAATATGTAATACAGTAAATAAGCGAAGAGATATTTTATAAAAGCATTTAATGAAAAATAATAACAGCGAAATATATGTTTTTACGAAGCGTTCTATTTACATCTCTGAATGTTGCCACTTTTTTATATGAAAGTTAAACTATTCTCTGCTGTAATAAAATCAAACTTATGCGAACCTTACACAAAGCAGACACAGCACAGTTAGCAGTTATGGTGAGAATGGTATTTATTGATTTTACAGTAAAAGAAGAGCTACTAAAAATATTGCCCATGAAAAGACGGACAACAGGTGAGGATATTTATAAAACATTTATAACATATGCAAGTTTGATAAATATGCCTCTCCAGAAACACTGTCTGCGATAACCACTGTTACGTTTTGAAATAAGAGTTAGATAATTTTTGAATTATGGAGAATTAGGTAAAATCGTTTTCTTATGTCTTCAATAACTTTAAAGGCATGTTTACACGATTCAAGAATATCCATTCAAGTGATTCAAGACAGATTATTAAAAGCTTTCTTTTTTCAATGCATTATTGTAACCCAACGATATAAATGTTTATGTCTTGTTTTAAGTTAAACAGAAAAATTTTAAGTCATAAATAAATAATCATTTTTTGTTTTTTTGAGATAAAAAACTATTAACAGAGGTAGAGTAGCAAACCTGGAATTCCATCACAGATAAAATTGTAGAAGGGGAGTAATGTAACATAGCTTCCATTACAGAAATTAAATCCTAAATTAATAATAGGTATATAAGATATGTCGCTCTTATTTTGAGGCACCTCTTGATAGACTGGAATAACATTTTGAAAGACAAAATCAAAGANATTGTGCCCCGGGCGCGAGTTAAGCTCGCTACGCCACTGATAATAGGTATATAAGATATGTCGCTCTTATTTTGAGGCACCTCTTGATAGACTGGAATAACATTTTGAAAGACAAAATCAAAGAGTTTTTTTCTCAAGCTCTTTCTGTCCTTTTCGTTTTTAATTATAAAATACAGGGAATCAACTTTTTTTCAGTTGCCAAAAATAAATTAAATAACACTTTTATCATAAACACTGCTAGTAGAGAATATTTATTTTAAGCTTAGTAGTAAAAATACCAAAGATTTAACCTTAAGTTTTTATGACTGTTGCAAAGAAAACGAAAAACTTAGTTTAGAAACCTTGAATGGCCTCTAAACAAAATTTTTCGTATATTATGTAAGCATTTTTTTTGGAAATTTTAAATTATAGAATTTTAGGCTTGAAGTAGGATTATTTTTAAAAATTTTATGTACTTTTTCAGGAGATTCATATGGCTCAATGGAGTACCTGTTTAGAATTGATAAGGCAACTATCTCCAAATTTATTCCAGAAACGTGCATTGCCATTTATTCTGTGTTAAAAGACTATATTCAAGTAAGTGCAATTAAATTAATTAATTTAAATTCTTTTATAAATATAGTAGCTTATTATGTTTAAAAATTTTGATTTTAGTGGTAAATTTTCAAATCATTAGTTGAAGTTTGACAATATTCGCCCTATGGAAACAGAAACTATATTCTAAATGGAATCTTATAATTTAAATTTTAGGTATTAGCTTTTTAAGTATAGTTGTTAAGAAACCCTTAACTTTAAAGAATAAAAAAATAATTTATGCCTAAAAATTTTACATACATAAGTACATGGCTCTGAATACGTACAGTAAAAAAATTAACAGCTGAATTACATTAGGAAATGAGATAAATACTAATAATAAAAATCAAGCCAGGAATGCCAAATTCGTTAATTTTTATGAATTGGTCACTTCGCATTCTTAAAAGTTATCAACGAAAATGATTAATTTAACAATAATCAGAGGCTAATGCAGGTTGATTTTGTTACTGTTTAATAGGGTTATATTTGGTATTAAATTGTTGATTTGTATTTATTTTTCACAGCTTTTCTATTGTAGTTCTATTGCTAATATAATAAGAGTAAACATTTTTGAGGTAACATTGTTAGAGCACCCAATAAAAAAGGTGCCAATACTTAAGCTCAAAAGCTCTCCTTTGTAAGTTTCGTTGCTTATCCAATTGCACTGCAATATACATATAACTAACATTTAAAAGTGCACATATAAATTCACCAAAAGTGCATGTTTTGATTTAAAAACCAAAAATGTACGAAGAAGAAGAGTTGTCGTTCTTGAATAAATTTGTAACAAAACTTATGTAATTTTGATGCATAACATAATTGATTTTAATGTAAGATTTATTTCATATTTAGGTTCCAACAACAGAAGAGGAGTGGCAAGACATTGCCAAAAAATTTGAGGAAAGGTGGAACTTTCCTAACTGCATCGGAGCTCTAGATGGCAAACATGTGATAGTGCGCCACAAAAGAAAATATGGATCACAATGCTTTAATTACAAACTTACGAACAGTATTGTACTTTTTGCCCTTGTTGATGCAGACTGTAATTTTATTTACATTGATGTGGGCACCAATGGCAGGGTGGCAGACAGCACCATTTTTTCAATTTCTGAGCTTCGTGGTGCACTTGAAAATAATGCCCTAGGTATTCCACCTCCCTCAAAATTACCTATGAGCAACGAAATTTTGCCCTACGTAATTGTGGCTGATGAAGCTTTCCCTCTAAAAAATTATCTAATGAAACCTTACCCAAGAAGGGAGCTTAGTCAGTTGAAGAAAGCCTTCAACTACAGATTAAGTCGGGC